AGAGTTCATATAGACACAGACTGTGGGAAAGAGTTCATATAGACACAGACTATTTGTACACACAACTGTGCAGATAGACTCACTGGGTTTGGCCTCTTCCTCTGGCTCTGGCTCCTCCTCCTGCTTCCTTCTTCTCAGACTCTTGATCTTGTGCACCAGGCTGAGAAACCTGCCTCGCAGAGAGGTGTCCTTCTCCTCTTCTTCTTCCTCCTCCTCGATGTGGATACCTGAGGGGGGAAAGAGGGAGACAGGGAATGAGGAAAAGAGATATTGAGAGGTAGGGTGAGACAGACTTCAGAAACTACAGAGAGTGTGTTCAAGACTGAAATGACACTGCAGATTGGTGTGTCAGTGTACAGTGTTCATCAGTGCATTACTATATGCAGGATGCATTATTGTGTACACTGTATATCAATGAGAGTATTTCCGGACTGACCACAGTGAGACAGCAGGTCATTGTGAAATTCCTGCATTTCATCCCTGATCTCGTCTGGCACTGGACAATCCTCATCATCTAGACAGTGCTTGAAGTTCAGGAGCATGTTGATCTGAAACGGGGGGGGGGGCAGAAGCACAGGACATTATCGTTAATGTCTCCATCCTGCGTGTAAAAGGCTGTGAACTAGCTGCGCAGTGTGGGCGTTCGCTCACCTGCTCCTGCGGCGGGGAGCGGAACTCGCGCGTCTTGCGCGCGGTCTCGGCGGCCGACATGGTGAACGCCATCATCAGCTCGTTGTAGCGCTGCCTCTGGTTGCTCTGCAGCAGGTTGATGAAGCGGTCAGAGAACGAGATGATGGCCTCCACGCGGTGGCGAAGCTCACAGTCGCAGAAGTACTGCAGCAGATTACACATCTGGCAGAGGGGGGAGGAGAGGACAGGGGAGAGACAGCAGTGAGCACACCTGCTCTGGACAGCAGTGGAAACTGAACAAAGGGGTGCTGGTGTTTACCGATCACAGCTCTAATAGCAGCACAATCGGAAGCCCTTAAGTGCCCAAGGAGAACTAGCCATCAGTGAAAGAGAGCTCTGAATATCCATCAAAGACCTGGGGCTGAAGTATTTAAACACATCTGTATACAGCAGAATTCAGTATTTGCAAGTTCAATATTTGAAATTTCGCCTGTTCACGCATAATATTTAGTGACCACCTTTTCCATATTCAGAGACCAAACTCCCCTATCTGGGGGCTGCTGCAGAGTAAATGTAGACTCCCATTACCGCCTCATTTTTATCTCGCGCATCTACTTCACCCAACCTGCGGCAGTGTCTGTAGTAAAGGCACAGCTTGGTTAACATTTCTGTACTACTGCATCCTGGGTTATGCTTTAGTTATTCAGTTTCTTTCAGGAAATTCAGTATATGCGAGTTGTATGTAGGATTTCTACCAGAGTAGTGCTTGAATGTGACTCAGCATTGTGCAACATAACAAAAGAAAGGCTAAATAACAAAAAAAAACTGTGGTCCCTAAGTTATTACAGTCTCAGATCTCACGTGTCTCAATGAAAATGATAAGAAAAGTAATTATAAGAAAGAGAATTAGACAAATCTCAAAAGCAGGAGTGAGCTAGTTGAGTGGGAAGGGAGTGAGTACACTTAACTGACAAGCAAGTCAATTATTACTATGCTGCAATAAACCCCATTACAATACAGTAGCACTGAGTTTATAAAAGTGATCTAAACAAGATGAAAAAAGTAAGAAAATGTGCAAAATGCATAAAAAGTTAAGAAAACACAAACACCACATAGAATAAAAAACTGTCACACGGGCTAAGCTACACATAACATCATGACAGTGATCTAACTTGTCTGCACATGCAATAACATCAGGGCGGTATTACAGTTACTGCTGAGGATCTCATCACTACCTGAAGCTTGACAGACTCTGGCAGCTTCATCTGCAGCAGCCCCTCCTCCAGCCCATCCTCTTCTTCCTTGGGCTCGTATTCGCTGGCCTCCAGTTCCTTCTCCTCCATATCCTCCTCCTTCTCTTCATCCGCCTTCTCCCCTTTGCCCTCCTCTTCTTCCACCTCTCCCTCCTCCTCTTCCCCCTCCGCCCCCATCCCTTCATCCTCCAGCTCTTCTTCCTCCAGCTCCTCCTCTTCCTCAGGGGTGCCTCCCTCTGCTTTCTCCTTCATTTCCTCTCCCTCTTCCTTGGTGGTGGGCTGCTCGCCCTCTCCCTCTCCTCCTTCCCCCTCTCCTTCTCCCTCCACCTCTCCACTGGCTCCCCCAGCAAAGACATTGGGCTCGATCATCTTGAGGATGTGCCGGACATCGTCATCCTCAAAGACGCCCATGATCAGCAATGTGCTGATGAGCTTGAGCACAGGTACGAACTGGAACTCCACGCTGCCCCCTACTGGGTCTCGCGTGTGCTGCCCACCATCTTGCACCGCTTCAGTCAACATGTTGATTGCCTTGGTCTTCAGCACCTGACAGGGACAACAACAAAGTCACATGTTCAATATCTATCTCTCTTTCATGGTCTGTGTCTGGTCTCTCTACAGGCCTGGGTCTGTGCCCTCTGTCTCTCCCTCTCCCTCTCTCTGTATCTGCAGTGTGTACAGGCCT